TGTGATGCGACTGTCGTTCGGCACGCTGCATTGAGCAGCCGCGTTCAGTTTTTAATTGTAGTGTCTGTTCTTTTACTGAACTAAATGATTTTTATTACTTTAAAAAAATCAAAACGACGGTGGGGGTCGGTGCCGCGGTGGGCAAGTGACATAACCGGTGTTGCGGCTTAACACCGGTATCACCATCAGCACCGTCTATCGCGGCAAGCCTAACGTGGAGGAGACAAATTGTTGAATAAAGTCATTATTTTTGTTTTATTTGCGCACAAAAAGTATTCTTGTAGCTTTATAACATTACGGTTGAACAACTGATGTCACATAGACTATTTTAACGATCTCCTTGCTATGTTTTTGGACCTTGATCGTGTAAGGATCCTTGCTGTCTATGGGAGGGTCAGAGTGCTCTCAGAATTCATCAAAAATATCTTAATTTGTGTTCCGGAGATGAACGAAGGTCTTATGGGGTTGGAACGACATGAGGGTAAGTAATTAATGACAGAATTTTCATTTTTGGATGAACGATCCCTTTAAAAGGTTTATTGTTATTAGTATAATCCATTAATGGAAATAAATGGGGTTTTACTTTCAGAGCTTTTCTGTATCAACAGTTCAGAGGAGAATGAATAACAGAGATGGATCTTGGCTTTGTTGGTCAACTCTAACCTGCAGTCCAACCGACTTCTTGTGCTCCCTAAAAGACTGGGTGGACCGTCCAAACTTTGCACGACCAGATGGTGCTGTGGTGCTCAGAGCTGCAGGTGTTTCCTCATCCTGGAAGAGCTCAACCAGTAAGGCAAACTGTGAGAAAACAAGAGAGCCTTTATAACAGAGCGATATGCTACTTGTGCCAGTTACACTCTAGACCAGTGGTTCTCAACTGGTAACTTGCATTTAACACTAATCCATGACCAATCCATGTTTTGGGTTCCAACCCACCAGAGCAAAAATCCTCTCTAAGAATCCAAGATGTTCATGAACCGAACAGCAGGTGGCGATACTTCACTGAATTAACTTAAGTCACTGAGGGAGTAGAGAATAACATTTCGCAAGCTCGAACACGTTCCTGGTTCTCATTTCGACTGTGTAGAGCACATGAAGCTGTAATTCTGTGCCAGAAAAATGTTAGTGAGCTATGCTGAGATGAACACACCTTACTAGCCTTCAGCACATTAATTTGTTCTTCATTGACTGTGTCTTTATTTTTCTCCAGAAATCCATCACACTGGTATTCAACCTACAACAGAAATCGAGAGAGATCAAATGGGATGGACTCTTAGGAATTCCTGTATGACCAGTGCATATTTTTCCTCCATGTACCTTGTCTGCAAAGTGCAGTATGATGAAGGCTTTGTTAGACATGCGCGGCTTCTCAAAGTGAGAGCTTTTCTTTAGGTGAGTGTTGTACAGCTTTTGCGCCCATGATTCATCTGAACCTTTTGGCATCTGAAAGCATCAAATCAAGGAGTTTATCACAAAAAAAAGATGCTTATTATATAACATTTATGGTTTAATAATGGTTTTTACAGTGCATTCTTCATCTAAAAGATCTAGCAAGCCCATCTTGGCCTCGATCAGGTTGATGCACGGCTGGTTGTCGTAGAAATCGATGAGCGTCCATGGTATCTGCTCCTTCATGTACTCCTCCTGCTCCAGTTTGAACACGTGCTGGAGGGTAAATGCTTTCTGTGAGTCGTGATGTGCTTGGACATGACTGATAATTTTGTGAATGCTGGAGCAGCTGACACACGTTTGAAAATGCTGACCATGTTAAACTGCTGCTGGAGCTTCTCGTTGGCGTAGTTGATGCAGAACTGCTCGAAGCTGTTCACCTCGAATGTCTCAAACCTGGGCACAACAGTTCACCTAATTGTCCTGCAACTGTATTTTTAACACCAATAAAGAATGAAGATGAAATAATAGCACCTCACCCACCCATAGATGTCTAGGACACCGATGAACGAGTGCGGTTTGGAGGAAGTGCTCAGGGCCTTGTTGACCTGGCCGACGATCCATGAGAAGAGCTTGGCGTAAATGTGTTTTGCAAGAGCGTCACGGCCGTTTATGGCCTCCAATTGGGTAACAGGCTTGTTTAGGGTTTCTGTGGCGGTCTTGAGTTTTTTATGGCACAACCAGTGAGCCATGGACTCGTACGACACCTCAGTGAGTTCACAAAACACGGCCAGGTGGCCGCTTTCATCCTGGACACAGTGCGAACAACATAGTGTGGAATCAATGTATGAAAATGCAAAATGCGTATTAAAGAAACCATTGATTCTTGCGTACTCAATGTGACTTACAGAGGTGCAACAACTAGAAGATCCTCTCTCCTTCACCTCCACATTCCCCAGATGAAGAATGGCTGACAGGATTTGGAATAAACCCATTTGGTGTGCCTCAGTAATTCCTGGAATCAATCAGCAGATACTGGCACGTTTGTGTTTGAACGACTAAACTAAGAGTATGTGAAGAAGCATTTAAAGGGTTTATATCATGAGGAATCTAATTGTCCTTGATCTTTTTAGATAAAAGAGCTTTATGTACTATGAAAATAGAATTTAACGTCATCCATGTTTACACATTAACTATTGCTACTGGATATTCATAAACCTGGCCAGTCTAATCATGGATAGGTAATAAGGATAAAATAAAAATAAAATAAAAAATAAGATACATTAATTAAAAAAAGAAAAATGAATACCAAAAAAAAAAAAAAAAGGAAATAAAGTAAAATAAAAAATAGAAATAAAATAAATATTAAATAAAAAACAAAAAAATGAAATAAACAAGAAAAGAAAAAAATGAAATAATAAAATAAACAATACAATACCATAAAATACAAAATAATAATAAAATAAAATAAATAAATGATGTTACCCGTTTATCATTCTGATAGTTAGTTATAGAACATATAGGACCCTGGTGTACAAAACACCTCATGGGCACATGGAAAGGCAAGATATTCATACCCAGCAGTGAAAAGGCTTTCCTTGTGGCTTCCATCTCCTTCAGGTCGTTCACCCCCTCGATGATGGGACTTCTGCCTTGGTTAGTGTAGGGAAAGTCATCAGCGCTACCTTAAGAGAAAGACTGGTTACTGAAGAAAAGGAGCCCACCCTGAGGGGAAGTGGTGAACAGATTTACTTATTACAAAATAGTTGATTTAAAGCCTACATATATAGCCTAAAAACCCATTATAAGATGCTTAGTAATGAAGATGCTAACGGTTTACCTGACTTAATAATAAACACAATGCAGAGTGGGTATCATACCTAACTTGAGAGGTTCAAACTCAGGTAAATGGACACAAGCACAGAGCTGATAGAAGATGTGATAGTTTCTCTCCTCACATGCCTAAAACCGGAAACAGAAACTGACTGCTTTAGTGTAAGTCAAGTGATATTTCCACATAAATACATCAGATTTTATATTTCAGGTAGATGTTTTATACTACTGAAATCAATGGTGACTCTTTCAAACTCTTTAAATAAGTATGTACTGTAGTTGAGATGAATGAGCAGAAGACTAACCTGAAACACCACTCTAGACTTTTCCAGAAGGTACGTCCTCATGTTGGCTCCAATGATGTGGTGTTTCCTGTCAAATCCAATCTCAATATACTTCCCAAAGCGACTGCTGTTGTCGTTTCTCGTTGTCTTGGCATTTCCTATAGCCTAGACACAGATGAAAGCCTCAGTATGAGAAGTTTCTTGGACGAGATGTAGATCTGTTTGGGAGTTTTACAGGCTAGCAGAAGCTAGCTATCATACCTCCATGATGGGGCTGGACGCCAGCACTTTCTCCTCCACGCTGGCCTCAGCAGAGGAGCCGCTGACCGTGGCGAAATAACGCATGGCATATTTAGCAGAAACTGTCTTCCCTGCACCAGATTCTCCACTCACGATGATGGACTGGTTCTTTTCATCTCTTACAGGAGGAAAAGGAGAGAATGCATTGTAATTGCCAAAAACTATGGACAGTTTCTTAGATACACTCTATTCTTTGAATCTCTTACTATTGCAAAAAGGTGCGCGCACATACCTGGCCATCTGTTTATAGGCCTCCTCTGACACAGCAAAGATATGTGGGTCCATATCACCCATGTTCTGCCCACTGTAAGCATTGATGATATCTGATCCATATATTGGAAGACTTTCATATGGATTGATGGCAACCAGAATGATTCCTATTTTTATTTTAAAACAAATAAATGGTTAGATTTTTTTACATTTCTGGAGTTCTGGGTCAAAGGTCAGACTGAATTACAACGCATTTTCAGACTCCTTTTTTTTATACTCTACATACTGTATGCAAAACAGTCTAATCTAAGAACAGGAGTCCATAACTAAAAGTCTAATGAGCTGTGCAGTACAAATGACAAGCTCAGCTAGGCCACATTTTATGGTTCATATTCACTAGTAATATCTGTGTAGAATACCAAAGTCTACAGGTCAATGCTCAGATAAAAAAATAAAAAAATAAAATAAAATAAAATAAAATAAAAATATGCAATTTAATTAATAAGTAATTTACAATTCTATTAAATAAAAACAACTTAAAAAATGAAACTAACAGAAAATATATATATCAAACATAAACAGACTAGCCTCAGACATACTGCTTTCATAATGACACTGAACTGAATAGAAATGCAGGTCAATGCTCAGAAATAAAAAATAATAATAAAATAAAATAAAAAGTGAAATATTGAAAAATCAGATTACATCAAATAAAATTAATTAAAAAATTAATTAATCTGAATTAAATAACAAAAAATTTCAACAAAATAAAAAAGACATTAAAAATATGAAACTAACAGAATACAGATTGAACATACTCAGACATACTGCTTTCATACTGACATTGAAGTGAATAGAAAAGTCTGATCTTTGATTTTAATATATCTAATAAGCAATGTCACAAACAACATTTTGATTACCGCAGTAGGTGTAGATGAGTTTGGAGTCTGTGAATCGGACCCGGAGGTTGTGCAGAACGGCCGGTTCATGGAGGTAACTGAGAGCCGTGAGGTCGTTCTCGCCCACCAGGATGTCCGGGTTACGAAGAGGAGGCAGAACACCACTCTTTGGGTCCAACTTGTACTCAAACTCCTGCGAAAAGTTACTTGAGTTCAACTGCAGCTACTGTGGGGAATTAAAAATGCTCTTAAACTGAATCTATTGCCTTGTCCTATAATCTTCAACAGAAGTTATTTGTTGCATACGTTCTGTCATGAGCTCTACTGTCTACATGCCGTTGATTTAACTTTTATTAAACCCTGAATACTCCTTTAATGTAAAACAAGCGAGTTCATCAGATCATCTTGTGCACACATGCAGCTTAAACGCTAGTTATGTTGTGGGTAAAACATGCAAAAAGCTTCGGGTATCACTGACACACTTGCAGGAGATACATTTAGAGGACATTTACCTCAGGAAAACCACAAGCTAAACTACAGATACTCATCTTTGGCCTGGTGACTGACTGCACACCAGTTACATGTTACACAGAGCAATGGGTGCAGTTACTGAACTATGCTGGAATTGGAATTCCACACCCATCATTTTTTCCACCAGTCTGACTCAACTCTGCCTCAAACTTGACTCAGTGCTGACTCAAGCAGTCTTCAAAAGCTTTAAACCACCTGATCTGGTCAAATTGGTCATGTTTTCCCTTCATACCCATGTTGGATGGGTATACTGGATCTTAAGCTTTTACAAAACGGGATGTATGTGAAAAAACGTTGATACTCTCACAGTCTCATCCTCCAGCTGTAGATGTAGGACAGTGTCTCCGGGCTTGTAGTCTTTGATGAGATCTGCTGATCTCCACACCTCTGTGGTGTCTGGGATCCAGACTCGAGCAAACTGCAGGCGGTCAACATCAGGTTAGTTTGAGTAGCATTAGTTTTTTTTTATGCAATTCAAAGCAAATCTAAAATGGTTTAATGCATATAAATAATCGAATTAATAAAATGAATAATACAGCATTTTATTACAATATTTTTTGTTTTCATTTTTTTAAATCAAACGTGATTGTTTTATCAATGCATTCATATTTAAAACAAGAATTACATATTCCTTTTAGGTTTAACATTGTGAAATTGTATAATTTATTTAAAATTAGAGCTGCAACTGAGATATTTATTTGTTTATTTTTACTTTTCTTCCAACTTCAGTCAAGCATCTGATTGCTTCATCAACGCATACACAGTTTAAACAATAAATTAAATATTATTTCTAGATTTAATATTATAAAATGGTCTAATTGACCTAAAATAAGAGATGCAAACCAGATTAAAGTTATTAATTTCCCCCCAACTTTAATCAAGCCTCTGATTGTTGTGTTGTCAATGCATTCCTCGTTAATTTAAAAAAAAAATATTATTATTAAAATAAAAATAGATCTGCAAATATACCTAAATATAAGAGCTGCACCTCCGATTAACATATATATTTTTGCTTTTTTTTTGAACAAGCATCTGATTGTTTTATTAATGCATTCATATTTAAAGCAGGAGTTTAAAATGTATTATATGTTCAGTGTTTGTGTGTTTGAATACAATCCGCTGAATGTTTGATAATTACACAAAAATAAATTCAAAATTAATTCTATTAGCCTTTTTAAAGTTCCCCACAAAAAAGTGCTGTAAGACTGGACTGTGTGGATGGTACAATGTTGCACATGTACTTTCCACTGCTCAGATGCGAAAGTAGCGGGGTTTAAACTCTCATACCTTCGAGTACAGCTCCGGAGCTGCCATTGGGCTCTGCCTGGGCTCCCGTTACTCCACAAACATCGCAACTCTCTGCGTCTGCTGCGACTTAGAAAACAGACATCGAGAAACGCCAAAGTTTCTGCAATCTCTTGGCTGGTGGTGTGGAAGTGTGACAGCCAGCCGCCGGGGAAATACACTGAGTGGCACAGTTTAATAACGAATACCTGTTACCAGTGGAACATAATGTAATCTTCCGCCAGGGGGCGCTTGGTGGCTCAATGCGCCGCTTCTCCATTGAGCCGCATTTAAATTTTAGGATGATTTTTGTCTCACTGGAAACATGTGCACACAAAATTGTGTAATCATTTAAATTAAATTAATTATCAAGACAAACATCTGGCATACAAATGAAAACTCGTGCTGATATTTAATATGATCTATTAAAAATGAAAAGCAATCAGCTAGTAATCACAACCGTATATGATTGGTCCGTCCTGACAGCCGCTGTGAAAAGTAACAGGTACCACGTGACAACAACGGAAAAGACTGATACATTTCTGTAGTTTTATTTTCAATTTAATAAAACAATACAATTAAATGTAAACTGACTGTGAGAAGTATAATAATATTAGGATTATTTTAATATAAAATAAAACATTATTTCTATTTAACTTCAGGGCCACCATACCCCGCCCATTTCACGTTCATTCTTCCCGCTTGTTGTATTTCAAAGTGCCAAGCATCCTTTCCAGTTCCAAGTATGGCAGGTAACGTTATAGGTACAAACCATTATTTTTCTTTTGATCATTTTCAAGACTGTTGAACAATTAATTTTCGTATGTTTGACTAAATCTAAGGTACACAAAATCTAAGGAAGTTATTTATATATCGCCGTACTCTCTGCTGCTGTAAAGCTGTTTGCTCTTCATTTGAAGGTGACATTAGTCACCAAAAAGAAAGAAAAGAAAAAGAAGGGGAAAAGGGCGGGAAAGACGCCGTGGCAAGGGAAGGCTTGGAAACAGTGCCGTCTTGTGGTAATTTTGAGTTACTCGCTTGCTTTGGCCATATTATAGCCACCTGAAAAAGAAACTGTAAGAATGAATGCCATGGAAACAGGGCCATGCATTATTTATGACTCTTCAAATGTGAATTGGTTATTTATATATCTATGTCCTCTCTGCTGCTAGGAGCTATTTGTTCATCTTCTTTGCTTTGGTAAGAATACAGTCACTTGAAAAAAAATAAATAAAAATCAAACAAAAAAAGCCACCATGGCAAAGAATGGGCTGGAAAGAGTGAGTTACTGCACTCCACCCAGATATACTAAAAACAACGCATAATTCAAATGCAAGTTGGTTATTTGTATTACATGAAAATTCAGTCAGTGAACAATGCAAGCTAAATAAACGAGTCTTGGTTCATTTTAATTTAACTAAGACATGAATCAAGTTTGACTAGACATAAAGAGCAAATTTCATCAAACAGCACAATGCTAGTCTCCATTAAATTTGTCTAGATAATTCAAATAATTTGAGTTTTTCAACAGCAAATCTACAACCTGTACTGCAGAGTTCAGAAACAACTACTCGGTCACGCGGCACATGTGCAAAACTTAGTTTATTTACAAAACAAATGGCACAGTTGTGACAGTAAACGTTTGTACAGCTCAGGTGTTCTGCCAACACAACCTAGAGAACCCAGCGAAGAGCTCAACACACTCCTCAGTGTGGGCAAACAAACGCCACCCGAGAGAAACTGACAGTTTTAAGGTCGTTTTCATAATTAACAAGTAGGAGGCAAACAGCAAATCTCAACGAACGAACTTTGAGAGCACTTAAGATTTTCTTCAGCTCAATCAGCTAATGTCTGCGAGGCCTTTTGCTTCTTCTAAGAGGCACAGTTTTGGCAGAAGAGGTGGATGTGATTATTTCAAGTCCAGTCCATGTTATCTACTCATGCAGGTCTTATTTCAAGACAAGCACAGCACAAAGATGATCAAAAAGTGATGGGAAAAAGTGTAAAACCCTAAAATAATGCTGGTCTGACTTGTTGGGCCAGATTCCCATGTTTAAACCTTGGCATCAATACATCAGACTGTACGGCTAGATCCAAGTGCGATGGTAGCAGCAGTACATATACCCTTACTTATCAAAACAGTATATTGAGAGCGTTTCTACAGGCAGAAGACAAAGAGAGAGTCAGAAAAGACAGCAAAAGAAAGACAAAACGATTAAGGCTGAGGGAGCACAATGGAGACAGCAGGAATGGCACAGAAGTCCACGCTCGCATTAGACGGCGAGTTTGCTGGCCACCAGAGACTGTTTCCGCTGCGGCAGGTCCTGAGGGGTGGGAATGTGGTCTCCGGTGATCTCCGTCTTCTCCGCCGCTGCTGTCGGGAGCTGCTTGTTCTTCATCTTGGCTTTGGCCATGTTATAGTCGCCTGAGTCGAAGTATTTTTGCTGCTAGGAATAACAACGTCGTTATTTGCAATTAATGAGCTCGATTTGAAAATTTCCTTTCAGAAACATACCCCTTTTTGGAGTCTTTTTCGCAAAAGATCTGACCCCCCGGGCCTGGTCCCGAGATGGGGGTATCGGGCCTTCAGTTTGACCTCCTCAGCTTTTTCTGGACTTACAACAGTGTCCTGCATCTCCTACATTAAATGTGGGATGAAATCCATGTCACAACACTAATTCTTAAGCAACAGGAAGCAGAATGATACGGTCTAGATAGTTATTTTTCCCCAAATTATGTCAAATTCTTAAGTTACAACAGCTACATTGAACCAAGCACTATATAATGAATTTGACAACTTAATTTCCCCGTCAAACGTTATAAGCATATATTATACATAAAATAAAACTATTTACAGTTCTATTATATATACACTTTAGAGCTAAATACGTTTTCAGCATGCAGCCTGTGAAAACTGTTCTACAAACACATACATTGTTTAAAAAGCCTATAAAAAAAATAACTTTTAAGTAGAGCGGTTGTTTTATATGGTCTAGCAGCTATAAACCCGACAGATATATGTATATTTGATTATTTTTACATGAAGTTAAAATGAATCAATACAATCACATTGTCAGATGCGGAATGGCCGCATACAAAACGTGTTTGAACACACTCACTGTAAACTACAGCGCCGCCCCGCGGACTGGAGGAGAACAGCGGCATTATGAAAAATACCTTTTGTTTCATATATATATATATATATATATTATTATATATTTATAATATTTATGACTCATGTAATACATTTAGAATTTTGAAATGAAAAAGTTTATTGAACCATTAGACAAAATATAAAAATAAAATAAAATAAAAAATATATATATGAAACCTTTCATATATATAAGAAAGTATGATTCTGTAATGTAAATCAATGAGATTTTTATAACAAAAATAGCAGACCGCTTACATAAATTGCATATAAATATCAGTTGTTTTAGTGTCTTAGTAAGATTATATTTAAATGCTGTTTTATGACCCAAGCTCTGTAGTTTTAATTGTGGGGTCAAAATATGTACAAATAAACATTCCTCAAAAACCTGTTGTATTTAACTTTTTTTTTTAAAGTATGGAGTTGATTCATTACATTTATTTTAAAAAGTAATTAAAGACTTCACATCAAAAGGACACGTGAACCATGACCTGAAAATGTAAGAATTATACTACCTTTACTTTCTAGAAAAGTATGAAATATCAATCAGATGACAGGAAACATGGCAGGAGATTATAATTTTTAAAAAAGTAATTTCATTTACTAAAATAAATGTTATGCTATGATTTTGTGCATCAGATTTATCTAAAACAGTCTTAAATGAACATCATGGAAGCACACTGTTTATCCCGGCTGGATGGAAAAGCAAAATCACAACAGAAGCATTTGCATTTCAATAATTTTAATGTACATAATTATCAAAAAATGGTTAGTTTCATTTTCTTACATAATCTACAATGTTAAAAATATAAAGCGTGGAAATTAAAAAAAATATGCTTTTAATTAATTTGAAATAAAACAGCAAATATTGGTCCATGGCATGTTTCTTTCCATTATGAATAAAAATATACACTAAACAGACCACTTTTGATAGTGTAAACAAAGGGTGTGCTTAAATAAAGGTAAATGTGATAAATCATCCTCACGCCACAGTCTTTCCTCTTTTCTATTAATGGAAAGACATCCGCTGTACACTTCACTGTAATCTCCTCATGAGAGGACCAAACAGAGCATCCCAAATATTCTCATAGAACTGAGAAACTGTTCTAAAATATTAGCAAACGTCCCATTAGTTCTGGAGCCGTGACACTAGATAGTACAGCAGGAAGAAGACCACAACCAAACCGATGGACATGTAACACAAGATCTTTCTGTTGTCTCGGCCGGATCGTACCATTGTTGAAAACCTCTTCACGCTTCCAGTCAACAGGCCAGTTGCACTGAGAAAATTGGAGTCCTGAGTAAACAAGGATGTTAAACACATGATGAGTTACACCCATGTGCCAACACTGCAAATACAACATACAACAATTTCAAAAAACCAACCATGCCATCCAAGTAGGTGTTCTGTTCCTCAGCCTCTTTATCAATGTCATACGCCAGCTGTGAATGAGACCAATAACATTTAAATGCAACAAAATGACCATTTTTTAAATCACATTCTATATAGAAGTCTGACTTACAGATTTGAGTCTAGAGACTTTACTGGCCAGATTTTCTGCCATCAGCCTGTTATCAGCATCCAGCATGTCATCCACAGCACCATGTCCTGTCAATTACACAAAATTCACTGTTATTAAGCTTTTTTTGTGACAACGTACACAACATGATTTCATATCTGGACACTTTCGTTTTCGAGTTTACTTGCACTAGCAACATCAGCAATAAATGTTTTTTTTTTTTAGACCGGAGAGGCATCATAATATTGAAATATTACGTGTATATACTAATAAAATAGCTTAAATGAAAACATGACTTAATATTATAAGAAAACTGCTACGTGTCACTTACCTCGATTCCAAGGATCAGCCATCTTTAAAGAGCTAATCGGCTAACAACCCCGAAAGACACTCTAAAACACGCCGAATACCAATAAAAACTATTCGTTTTAACTGTAAATGACTTCTTAAACAAAAGCTAACACATAGACGTTCAGTAAAAGTGTTGACAGCTGTAAAACAGCGCACATTTGTCTCGAAGCGAACCGCTGATCAGCGGGCAGCAGCAGTCGCTGGGGATTCTGGGATATGTTTGTCCGCCAGTCTTTCATTTTTCTATCATGAGGACTCCGTCTGATTGCATAAGCTTCCTATCCAGACATCTGCTTGCGTTTGCTTTAAACATTTTTTTTGGTTAATATTATTATTATTTATTATTATTATTATTATTATTATTTTAAAACGACATTGATATGAAATAAACAGTGCGTGTCACTGCTGTGCTGGTAAGCATCTTTATTTTGTAATGCATAACCTTGGTTATATGGTGGTCATAACGACGAATCGCAAAATGCAATAACGGACGAATAATTCAATTTGATCATATTTGCATTTATAACTGCGCGTGTGCATTTTGTACATTAAATTAAATATATTTTCTATTGCACTATATTTGAAGTAGATACATTTCCACCCAGATATAAAATAACATAAAGCGGGGTTTACGATGGTGATTTTTAAAATATAATTAACTTTTAATTTTGATGTTTTAACAGGAGTGCGGTTTGTGATATTTCAGTGCTTGTGTTGAATGATCACAACCACAACTGTCCGCCGAATCCATAATGTACGATCTTACGAATACAATGCACTGCATAAAATGGAAAAATGTGCTTTTAAATGTGCTTTTTAATGTGCTAGTTTAATTGAAATTATGTACCAAACAAAAGAGGAACAAACATTTCTAAAATTCTAGCAAATGTTTCAATTAAACTTATTTAAATGCTATAATTTAATATAAAATATAATATTATATAATAAACTAGAAAATTTTATGTTTATTAGTTCTATACATAAATCTCATTCTTGTTTCATTTATGTACAATCGACAAATATGCATTACGTTAAGTTTATTAGTTTGTTGAAACCGAAATTCAACTTGATGGAAATCTATAGGCTATATGTAATTAAAATACATTTATCTTAAATATAGGCCTAAATATTTAGGTGAAAAAAAATTTAACTGTGATATTTATTTGTAATTAAAGTAATAAATGTAATAAAGCGTTATAGAGACAACCCCTTCGTGCTAATGTAATTTTGCATTTAAATTGAATTAATTTAATTTATATATGCATTTCTTTTGTTCTTTTTGTAGTGTGGAGCACCGATCAGCCACAGATTGTCATAATGTTGGCCCGCAAAGGCCTTTTGCCTGATGGTTTCCTTTTGACACAACTCGCAGAGGATGCCACACAACCCAGTCGCATCCGGCCAAAGTCACAGAGGGCACGTTTCATCACCAAGAGCGGGTCTTGTAATGTTGCCCACAAGAATATACGAGAACAGGTGCGTTGCACAGATGAACTCTGGTCCAAGAAAATGTTTCAATTCACTCACATATTGTAGTATAATGTATCTATTAGGCAACAGATGCAATACACTTTACTGATTTTGTTGCTTCCCAGGGCCGGTTCCTCCAAGATGTTTTCACCACCATGGTGGACCTGAAATGGCAGCATTCCCTGCTCATCTTCACTTCGGCATTCCTCTGCTCCTGGATGCTCTTTGCCATGGTGTGGTGGCTCTTAGCATTCGCTCACGGCGATCTGGAGCCTCGAGATCTGTGACCTGTGCCGTGTGTCACTTCCATTCACTCCTTCACATCTGCCTTTCTGTTCTCCATTGAGGTGCAGGTAAGGAGCAATCTGGAAGGATTTGAATCCAATTGTCGACTCATTGAGAACCAAATGGCTGAGATTTTTGAACCTGTAATATCAATCATTTCTGTAATATCAGGTGACTATTGGTTTCGGAGGACGAATGGTGACGGAGGAATGTCCACTGGCCATCATAGTCCTCATTATCCAGAACATTCTGGGCTTGATCATCAACGCCATCATGCTGGGCTGTGTATTCATGAAGACAGCTCAAGCCAACCGGAGAGCAGAAACCCTCATCTTCTCGCGTAACGCAGTCATTGCACCGTGGAACGGCCGACCAACGTTCATGTTCCGTGTCGGGGATCTAAGAAAGAGCATGATCATCTCGGCCACCATACAGCTGCAGGTGACAAATATCTTCAACTCTCTGAAAAACAAAGGTTCTTTATTGGCATCTATGGTTTCATGAAGAACTTTTAACATCAATGGAACTCTTCCATTGGACAGAAGGTTCTGTAGAAGTGAAAGGTTCTTACAATTTTTTAAATGTTCTTCAGAACTGACCACTACATGGTTCTTCTATGGAATCGCTGTGAAACCCCCCCTTTTGGAACCTTTATTTGTAAGCGTGTAGTTCTTCTGTCCAGAACTTCTTGAGTTGAATTCCACCCTAATCTTGAAGTTTGTTCTTCAGGTGATTCGGCGGACTGTGACTGCGGAGGGTGAGGTGATTCCCGTTTGTCAGCTCGATATCCAGGTGGAAAACCCTCTCAGGAGCAACGGCATATTCCTCGTCTCTCCACTTATAATCAGTCACACCACTGACAGAGGAAGTCCGCTGTACGAGGTCTCAGCGC